TATTCTCCGTCTTCTGATTGGTTAACCTTCTATTGGTGGACTATAAAGTGAGGGAAGTCATTTGGGCTAGATCACTAGCTACATAGTATACACAAAAACTGCAACAATATTGACAGCTGACAAGTTATATATATATATATATATATATATATATATATATATATATATATATATATATATTCATCTACTGGCCTTAATATTAGAAAAATCTTACAGAAAAATATGCGCTCTACTTTTGTCACCTTTCTGTTGCTGCAAGTCTCTTCTTCATCTTTGATTAGATTGTCCAGCACTCCATGTCATACAGGAGGATTGATGTCACGTAACAGTTTAATTCTCTTTTCTTTGTTCTTAAAGTCATACCAGGATTTATTACTGCCATACATAATCGTAATTCTTTTCATTGTTTCTATCAAATTTTTCTATTTCTTAATACTCTGCTTAGCTTTTGGAATGCATCTTTAACTATCCCAAAACGTCTTCGGATTTCAGTGTCACACTTTCTATCTTCTGTTAAAACACTTCCCAAATTGTTGTACTTGTTTGGTTCTGGCATCTCCAGTTTGCAATTAGCACTTTGGGCTCATCCTGTTACTAACAACCATGCATTCTGTCGTCTTGTAATTGATGTTTAGTCCTTTCTTCTTGCTTTCCTTCACTATCTTCTGTAGGAGTTCTTGTAGTTTTCTTGCTGTCTGCTATCAACGCTCACTACAGTTAATTCTCTCTTCTTGCGTACTGTTTACTCGCGTACTATTTAGCCAAACTCCCTTCTATAAAATGCGGACTGTAACTCGGCCACTAAGCTGTTACATGATATCTGTCCTCCTTTATGGCACTGAGTGCTGGACAATCTAGTCAAAAATGAAAAAGAGACTTGCAGCAACAGAAATGTGGTTCTACAGAAGGATGCTGAGGATACCATAGACCAAACATGTGAGCAGCGACGAAGTTCTAGAGCAAATGGAAACATAAATGAAACTTATATTTAACATCAGGAAGAGACAGTTGAGGTTTCTGACGCGCATAATGAGGAAGGACGGCTTGGAAAATCTTATACTCACGAGACAGCTAGACGGTAAGAGGGACAGAGGAAAGAAACAAATAACATACTTAGAGAGTTTGAGTAAATAGATGGCGGAACAGGGTTGGGAGAAATAACAGAAAGAGAAAGTTTATTAAGAGCTTCAAGAGGCAGGAAGTTGTAGAGAGCCATGATCGCCTACATCTTCAGGAAACACGACACACACAACAAAAAAAGAATCGTTATGGACTTTTGTTTCGTATCTGTCTATATTTCTGAGATGAGATATTATGTACACAATTTACATTATTTGGACTTATTATCCTCATCTTTGTCGCCATATTTATTACAACGTTTCGGCCGTTGTACGCTCCGGCCTTATCCAGGTGGTTGGAATGTCGAACTGAACCCTTTATTTCGGAGAGGGAAATTAAAAGGAGATAACTGATAACTGACATCCATTACACATGGCACGTGGAACTAGAAAGGTCTACCCCAGGGAATGAAATAAAGGGTTCAGTTCGACATTTCAACCACCTGAAGAAGGCCGGAGCGTACGACGGTCGAAACGTTGTAAAAATATGGCGACAAAGATGAGGACAATAGTCCGAATAATGTAAATAATGTACCTTTGTTTAGGTACAAAAACCAATAATTTTCGTTGGAACCCGATCAGTAGTGAGTTTATTATCTGGTGTAAATTTAAATTTTACATTTTAAGAAAAAAAATATTACACTTTTGAAATGTTGAGTGTGAAATGGAAAAACCGTATAGCTAAGATTTATTTTTTACTGTTTATCAACCCTTTGTGGGTTATTTAAAGCCGAAAGATATTTTTTATTGTAAAAATATTTTTCTACGAGTGAATGTAACATTAACATTTTTTTGAGAATAACAATGATTTTTCCAGATACAAGTTTTAATATTTAACCTGTAGTTGGGGGAGGAAATGGATACCTTTCCCAAGGGTATTTACAATTTAGTGAATTTACTGAAACTGGAATTTGAACTCGGTTCTTGGATTATAAAATTCTTGGTTCGCATTGATTACATAATTCTTAGTTTGCTTCAGGAAAAATTCTTTGCATAAATATATTTATTCCCTTTTTCACCAAACATTTCAAATTTTGCAAATTTAACAAATATTTGTAGTGTGGGTACTTATCTAGAAGGATAATTTGATTGATTTGTTTTTTACGGCTTATCAACCCTTGCAGGTTATTTAAAGCCAGACAATATTTTTAGCTTATAAGAAGTATTTTTTTAGATAATGATTTAGTTATATAAGTCTTACTAATTAACCCATAGCTGGGGGGAAGAGGTGGATTCATAATTTTCCCAAGGTTATTTGCGCGTAAGTGAATATAACGAAGCCAACTGGAATTGGAATTCGGCTCTCCGATTTACAATTCCGAGTCGTTATCCATTCCACCACCCGCACATCCACGCTTACATCAACTTTAATTTCCAAGCGGCTACCCAAAAGGATTGTTTGAAAGAAATGTAATTGCTGATAGTTTAAGAAATAAAGTGTGTGTGTGTGTGTATGTGTGTGAGTGAGAGAGAGAAAGAGAGAGAGAGAGAGAGAGAGAGAGAGTTATAGTAAAAATAATTTCTAAGCCAAATGTCTTGAATTTTTATAAACTAAATTATTAACAGTTGTACTTTTTGTATCTTTTTCATCTTAATATCATTTATTATCGCAATTAAAATAAAAAATAAAATAATAGTAAAAAAAGATAATATTTGACAATTCATCATTTAATAAAAGTTTTTTTCTAGATTCTCCATCGAATATTCACCGTACACGCATTTATGTTCTCAGTCTATTAGTTCATGATTTGTTCTTATTAAACAAATAAGCTGGAAATCCAGTTTTAATTATTGTCAATGAAAGGAATAAAAAAGACCTCAAATTTTAGACCAATCTAATTTTTAAAACAATCTACATGAAATTAGATTAAGTGACTGATACTTTTTCATTTACAAACACTAAGCACAAAATCTACAAGTGAGTTAGTTAAATGTACTAAATACCATCAGCTTCAAAGTCAATCAGATAATTTCTAAGCCTATTGTCTTGAATTGTTATTAGATAAATTATAGTTAACAATTATTAATTTCATTTATCATCGCAATTAACATGAAACATATAACAGTAAAAACCGAATAATAGTTGATAATCCATCATTTAATAAAAGCTCTAAATAAAACTGATATTATTAATACAGAGAGAGAGAGAGAGAGAGAGAGCGAGCGAGCGAACAATAACCTTAAATATAGCACCGCCAAACGATGAGGAGTAAAATAATTAGTTCGGTTTGATCTTCAGTCATCCATTGTCTCTAATAACTGAAAGAATCATTCAACTGTTGTTCACAGATGAACTTGTTAAAATAAAAGACGTGTGACTTTGTGCTTCTTGGCCTAAATCTTGTTCCGTTTCCCACTTTTTTATTGAAGGACTGTAGAATAGCTATGGAATGCAACTAAAATTAAGATAAAATAAATGCGAGACAAAATAATGGTAGAAATTAGTTCCTGAAAACTTATGAAATAATGATAATAAGATACCAATATTAAGAATAATGACAAATAATAAAATATGAGTTTAGCCGTTTAAAGCAAAAGACTTACTTAAGCATTATCTCAAAGCTTCAAAGATCGATAAAGCAATACAGGCTAGACACACATATTGATGAGGAGGGAAACAAAGTGTGTACGTGAGAGTGTGTTTGTGTGCATTTGTGTGTTTATGTCTTTAATTAATGCTTTAATCTATATATAAAATCCTGTGAGTTTTGTTAGCCTGTCCGTCCGTCCGTCCGTCCGTCCGCCCGTCCGTCCGTCACACCCTCTAAAATAGCCATACATTGACCGATCGAAACGAAAATTTGCGGAGAAGTGGAAACAGGTTTAGTGGGTACAAACTACAGTTGGTTTTACTAGGGTACGTAGCTTAGTACAATAAAACTTCATTCATTATTTTTGGAAAAAGTATAAGTTTTATTATTTAATATACAAAATATTCCCACTATTTAAAAAAAGAACCCTTTTCCAATTCACTCTGCGTTTGCGATAACTATAAAGTATAAACTAATCACAAAGTCAAACGCTTCAAAAAGTTGGAATTTGGTTCCTGATAGAAATATTTATGTATGTTGCATGCTCAAGAGAAAGAATTTATTCTTTGCTGTTAATAAGGAAAAAAAAAAAAGGAAAAAAAGAAATTTCTTAAAAAAATATTGCTTACCATGAAGTCCTATAAAATTAAATTAAATTAAAGAAATTATTAAACTGAAAGGTAGGGTTTTTGCCAAAGTGTTTTTTCAAAACAAATCAGCTTATTCAAAATCGATCGGTTTGCGAAATTGAACGAAACGTAGAGTTTGTAAATCCCGACATTAATGTTAGCGATTAACTTCAACAATACCAAATATTGTGAGGAGTTCAACACGCGTCGGAAATTCTAGTGGGAATTTTATAAATGTGCTCGAATAAGTGTGGGACGACGATTCAGCAAATTGCAATACAACTAATATCAAATAAAAAAGGATGAACATAAAGGAGATATACTTCTAGATATGGAAAACCGATATCAACAGATTTCAACATGCGGAAATAGCATCTACTGCAAAGGATTTGAACAAAAGTGCCACAAAAACAGCATTACGTAGAATTGCGGGCGAAATTAAAAATGAAAAAGAAAATGACACAACGTTATGCAAGAGAATATTTGGTATTGATAATATATTAATAACAATCAGAAATAAAGTGCTGGAATTTCTGGAACATATAATGAGGAAAAGAGGGCCTGGAGAACTAAGAACTCACAGGACATATTGAAGGCATAAAAGCGTAGCAAAGGAAACAGAACAAGGACAAAGAAGGATGGTAATGGGCTAAAGGTTACTTAGAGCAGCAAAAACAGGAAGTTGTGGAGAGTCATAATCAGCTACGTCTTAAAAGAACGTGTCACTTAAAAGAGGAAGCGTTTGAAAGAAAGAAAAAAGAAAGAAAGAAAAAAGAAAGAAAGAAAAAGAAAGAAAGAAAAAGAAAGAAAGAAAGAATAAAGAAAGAAAAAGAAAAAAGAATAAAGAAAGAAAAAGAGAAAAAGAAAAAAGAAAGAAAAAGAAAGAAAGAAAAAAGAAAGAAAATTAATAGAGATAGGCGTAGGTGACAGGGAGAAGCTTCAACCGCTACCCACCAAGCAAACGAATACTACATTTCCAAGGCAAAAGATGGATAATTTCAAGAAAACTTAGAATATCTTCAAGGCAAATCAATTCTGCTCCCTTCACTGTAAAATATCCTCCCGTAAGCCTATATCTAGAGGAATTGAATAAAAAAGGTCCCGTAACCCATTAAGGTCGTAGGGACACCAGTAGACTGCATTCATAGCACCAGAAGTTTGGTATGAGCAAGATTACCTGACGGATATCTCTCCTTTTTTTTCAGGCTGGTTTAAAATTCATAGTTTTCCTTCTCCTAGACTGGAGGTCACTTCAAGGCAAGAGAGAACAGTCTACCTTTCTATTTGATCCATAGCATATTATTCATACCTTTTCTAAGAGCAAAGTGAACTAATCCGAATCGAGCGGGAATTGAACACGGGACACCGATTTCATTTTCTAAGACGATACCCGTTCACCATTTGCACAAAATAAATAAAAAAAAATAAACAATAAACAAAAATAAATAAATAAAATAAAATTAAAATAAATTGATGAAATTAAAATTTTTAAAAAGTCACCTTCAAAAGCACCAATGTATTTGGCTCGCTATTTTTCTAGTATTAAGCAATTAGGAAAATTGTTGAGAGCGGAATTTTTACTTTTGCCCTATAGAGAGAGAGAGAGAGAGAGAGAGAGAGAGAGAGAGAGAGAGAGAGAGAGGAGGGAGAGAGAGAGAGAGAGGGAGAGCATGCTACCGACTTCATATATTACTTTCCACGTAAGTTTAAAAGATCATCGAGAAACCAGTAGTGGAGATCAACACCGACAAAATGCTTAGCGGCTTTGCAACGAATCACTCACAAGAATTTATCCCTACACCCAAAGAGAATAAACATTTTTTTTTCCTGAGACCAGTTTCACTTTAACATAACTAACAAAACTCCCTAATCGCATCAATATTAATTTATGTGGCAAAGGGCAGTCATATAAAAAATGGGCTATAAAAATATTTCGACAGCTGAATAAGAAAGTGGTCAGTGTAAGCAGCTCGAGAGGACTTCAAAATTACACCCTTGCAAATCATCCATCTTTCTATCGTTCAATCAGTTGTTCAAGAGGTCAGTTGACAATCTAATCCAAGCATTGTGTGATTATCCAGTCATTGTATGTAATTTATCCGTCTACACGGACAAAAGCGGCGAGTTCTTTCTTTTGATTTGGCGGTTCTGTTTGGTACAAAACAATATCGTTCAAGAGAATGGAAAAATTCTGTGAGTTGGGACTGGCGGTTATCAAAAAGAAAAAGAAAACAGGAAGGGAGGATTGGAAAGCAGGAAGTTTGTGGAGTAAAAGAATCAGGAAATGAAGGAAGTAAAATGTAAGTCAGTCTGCCAGAGAAATTGAAGGGAATGGTTTTGGTCAAAGAACTATTTTTTCTCTTTCTTTATTTTAAGAGAAATTGATTTCGAAAAAAAGGTAAATGTAGTGGATGGAAAACCGAAATGATTAAGAAAGAAAGAAAGAAAGAAAGAAAGAAAGAAAGAAAGAAAGAAAGAAAGGAAAGGAGAAAGTCATTTCCTTTTTCTTGATTTCTTTCTTTTTCTACAAATAAATAAATAAATAAATAAAGAAAGAAAGAAAGAAAGAAAGGAAAGGAAAGGAAAGGAAAGGAGAAAGTCATTTCCTTTTTCTTGATTTCTTTCGTTTTCTACAAAGAAAGAAAGAAAGAAAGAAAGAAAGATAGAAAAGGAAAGGAAAGGAGAAAGTCATTTCCTTTTTCTTGATTTCTTTCGTTTTCTACAAAGAAAGAAAGAAAGAAAGAAAGAAAGATAGAAAAGGAAAGGAAAGGAGAAAGTCATTTCCTTTTTCTTGATTTCTTTCTTTTTCTACAAAAAAAGAAAGAAAGAAAGAAAGAAAGAAGGAGAACAAATTTGGAGAAAAAAGAACAGAACATAGAGAAGAAAGAAAAGAAATGTAGACAAAGGAAGAAAGAAAGAGAACTAATTGGAGAAAAGAACAGGAAAAGAAAGAAAGAAAGAAAGAAAGAAAGAAAGAAAGAAAGAAATGAATAAAAGGGAAGGGAGGAAGTCCTTTCTTTGTCCTTCATTTCTTTCTTCTTCTACCTATAAATAAATAAATAAATAAATAAAGAAAGAAAGAAAGAAAGAAAGAAAGAAAGTGAAAGGTTAGGATAAAAAGAATAGGAAGCAGAATGAAACAGAACAGAAAAAAGAAAGAATAAAGAATGACGAAAAAAAAAATAAAGGAAGAAATGGAGAAAGTCATTTCCAATTTCTTCATTTATTTCTTTTTCTACAAAGAAAGAAAGAAGGAAAAAAGATTTTGAGAAAAAGAACAGTAAATAGAAAGAAAGAAAAGAATTGTAGAAAAAAGACAGAGAAATAATTGGAGAAAAGAACAGGGAAAAGAACGAAAGAATGAAATAAAGAAAGAAAGAAAGAAAGAAATAAAGAGAAATGAAGAAAATTCATAAGAAAAAGAGACAGACATAAAGAAGCAGAATGATATTAAGGAAAAGTAGAGGGAAAGAAAGAAAGAAAGAAAGAAAGAAAGAAAAGAAAGAAAGAAAGAAACTACTATCAACGGAGAAAATGACATAAAAAGGAAAAATTAAATAGAAGAAACGAAAGCAAAAGAAAGATTCTAATAAATAAGAAGGGAATATAAAAAAAAGGCTAGCAATGATTGTAATAAAAAAGTGCGTAAGAATAAATGGATGAAAGAAGAGGAAAGAAAGAAAGAATGATTGAACGGACAGATAATGACAACAGAAGAAAAGAAAGAAAGATTAAAAGAACAACGATTTCAATAAAAATAGAGATACATTGAACAAATCAATGAAAGAAAGAAAATAAAAAAGAAAAAGAGAGATCGAACGTAAAATAGCAGAAAAAAATAATAAAAAAGACGAAAAGAAAAATATTTCTAGAAAAGAAAATAACAGAGATAAAAAATGAAACAAAAGAAATAATAAAAAAAGAAAAAAAGGCTGACATGAAAGAGAAAAAAGAAAAGAAGAAAGAAAGAAAGAAAGAAAGAAAGAAAGAAAGAAAGAAAGAAAAAAGAAAGAAAGAAAGAAAAAAGGAGGAAAGATGACGTTTGAACGTAGAAAGTAAATAACGGCCATTGCTGAAAATGCAATCCGCTTGACCGGTGATGCATGAAAAATGTAGACTGCTTTACACGGACCAAACAAGGCATCGAGGGATATTTTGACCCCGTCTGCTTGGTTGATGTTGCCGCAGATTAGTACGTTTAAAGAGAAAAGGAGAGAGCACACACGCGAAAGAGATAGATAGAGAGAGGAGAGAGAGAGAGAGAGAGAGAGAGAGAGAGAGAGAGAATAGGGACTGTTTAAAAATGATGCAGGTTCAGCAAAGAACAAATTGTCAACGCATCGTAGCATTCAGAGACAACATGAATCTAAGTTAACCCTTGTCAGCAAAGGACATACAATTAATTTGCTGAACACAGACAAATCAATGCATTAAAGAATGTCGCCCAGGGAAAATTAGCATCTGACAATAATGGTAACAGTGTAAAAGAGCCACACGGAATGCTGGCTGCAAATTCTCTTTATTAAAGGAGACGGACACTGGGTAGAATGAAAATCCTATGCACAAGGTGTTTTATAGACTGTAGTAAAGGTAATGGTAATAATCGCCGTTTCCCTATGAGGAAACATTCAGTATTCATTCACCGAGAAGTCAGTTCCCATTTCAAAGAGACAGGGTGGTATAATGGTGACTGTCGTAAGAATAGTAAGAACGTGTTGTTTTGATGTGACATTATAGTATGTTTGGGTCTGTGATTGGGTCTAGCTAACTTAAATGTAGGACAGACGAAGACATCAGGGCCTTGTTCCACATTTTCTCTAAAAACAGAAACAAATATTACAGCCAGTGCTGCTCGAGTTATGCTTTTCTCAAGTTCCTGGCCAAGATCAAAGTGTAGTATCTGTTCCCCCTAATCTGTAATTGATGAAATGGCTAGCTTTGCACGGCTTATATTATATAATGTTATCATATTATATTGTCACTCCCGTGTGAACCTGTGCAATCATTACAGATGCTGCGCCGCTATAAGCAGCGGACCCATGCTCTCTCTAGACTGACGAGGCCACACTACGGCTTATCAAACTTTGCAAATTATTTAAATCTAGAAATGCTTATGGTGCTCTTTTTCTCACAGACGGTGCTCAACTGACCCTACTACTGCAGTCGACAAAATCAAAAACAACGCGCATGCGCGAAATTAAAAATATAAAATGGTGGCAATTTATCCATCGCACACAGTATAACAATAAAATTTCGTCTCAGAAATCCGAGAAAAAAATTCATCGTTTATAAGTACATCAATCGTATACCTGGATTTTATTTTCTTGAATGCTTTTCTTACACCTGGAGCTAAAATCAGACGAATTCCTCATGAAGCATTTCACAAACTTTGTCTCCTTTATCGGTTCTAGGTATTTCAAGCTGACACAAGTCGCTGTAGATATTTTTAAGACGAATGGAAATCAACTGTTATCTAATTTCCGCCAATAAGTACCTTTGTTATCGTCCTTTCTTTTTTTTAATCCTTGAAATTACTCACACACATCTGACTAATGCATGGCCCAACACTCACCATCATCTGTCTACTAATCACAACAAACAAGACAAATACCATATCATGTACCGAAAAACTTGTCCAATGTACCTCTTCATCGCTTGTACTTCTCTGACCTTCCTAGCAGTGTTAATCGGCCCCACCTGTCCAACATTGGACATTCCAAAACGGGCTAATCAATGGAACGACAACAATTATCTACATTTAATTACACCTGTTGATGACCTCGTCTCTTGTGGAAGTTGGTGAAGCATGTCATGTCTTCAATCAGATAAACAGATTTGTGAACAGAACAACAGTTGTTTTTTTTTTTTAGTTTTTTTTTTTAAAGCCAATCAGTTTGGGCATCGCCCGCCCTTCTTTTGACTTTCTCCCCACGCTCACCTCCACAACCTTAGCTGTTAAAATTGGTCAGTGGATCTAATGTTATTCTATGTGACACGAGTATTTCCGTGAACAAGTCTGTACTTGATGGTGTTGGCTTAGACTTTTTTTAATTGATCAGGCGTGCAGAATGTGACCGCAGCCGAAGTTGGAAAGAAAGAAAACGAGGCGAAATTCACGACCTATGAATCATTTCACGAAGAAAAGAAAGTACTGAGAAATATTGCTGGATTTGCAAGTTTAAATCTGTAAATCAACAGCGTTTCCCAAGGAGATACAAACACTTCACACTATTATGCTTCATGCGCAGTAGACCAAGAGATTCAACATAATAGGGTATTCAAGAGAAGCCTGGTCAAAAATGTTAATATACCAAAAGCCATAAAAGTTAATAAGCCTAGTAATAACGTTTTCGCAGTATAAAATACAAAATTCTCTTTCGTATTTTACAGGAACTTAACAAAAATTAGAACATTTCAAAATGTTAAGATATAAATTGCATATACATTTTTTATTGTTATTTATATTTTTCTTACGGAGTAGAAAATGAAAATTGAATTTAACGTCTTCCAACAAAAAAAATAAAAATAAAATTAAACTGTTGGAATATCAATGATATTTAATCACATATTTATTCAAAGATGATCAAAATATCCCTAAGTTCTTTTAAAAATGCTGTTTTACTAAGGGTAACTTAGATGTAATATAGGCAACAAGCAGAGAGCGAGAATCGAACTCGCTACTCCGTTGTAACTAATCTAGGAAGACAAACTTGCTAATCATTACACCACGTTGAATTCTTTTGCCGTTACCAGAGTTCTCATAAAGAAATTACTTTTCACCAGAAAATGACGTGAGTTAAACGTATTTAGATATAATTTATCAAGAATGTATTCACGATCATTTTCAACGACTGCAGCCTAGCGAGAAAAGCAGTTTTTCAATTCCCCGTTTAAAAAATCTTGGTAACCTTTTTACCAAAGCAGTATACTCTTGTCGTAATGCTTCGTTTACATGATCAAGTTGCTGGTAACATAAGGTAACATAAGTGTGTAGAGATGGTCCTTCCATGTTACAACAGCTCGTGTTAGACGATACCTTTTATATTTCCCCAGACACCAAGCAAGGACTTCTGTAGATGAAATCCTGGTTTTTGTGTTGGCATTGCTTTCTCATTTTATAATAACTACTAACTTTTTTTTTTCTGCTGACATGCATAACATCACTTGTAACAATACGTTGTAAAAATAAAAGGTTGCATTCTTTGTTAAAAGAAAACAATTGCTGCAGATTATGGAACTTTGTGTCTCGATTCTCAAGCGGAAGCTCATGACAAACCGAAACTCTCCCTTTGCAAGTTACCCAATTCGCTTGAGATGTTCACGGACAGTTGAACATGGCACGCAAAGATTTTACGCCAAATCGCTGGTGCTTTCGTATGGATTCAATTCAATAGTTTTTCCAAAAGTATTTCATTCAGAGTGAGCCGTCTTCCAGAGCCTGCATAGTCGGGTATGTCACGATTGCATTTTTTAATCCTTTCAAGCCACAGCTGATATATACAAGCCTTCACTGTATCGTTATACGCTACACAAATGCTTTAAATACTTCTGTAGCAGTACGATTCTTTTGGAATTCATATAGTAAGCGAATCGCTAACAAGGG